AGAAACTACATGCCCACCAGTGACTGTTGGGCACTCGTGCATATTCGTGCTGTAAAACCAAAGGGGGGTTAATGACAAAAACATTTGTTGTCGTTGTCGAAAGATTTGAGAATCACTATCAGGTCAGAAGTAACAGGAAATGAACACTGCTTCATGGAAAGCCGTCCTCACAGCTGAATACTTTGTTCCCTGAGATGGCATAACGGTATTACAAGTCTTACTCAATCTCATCGACAAGTCCACCACTCAACGCTGTTGAAAGTGCTTACCATGACTGGTCCCTGCTGCGTGCCCACCACGGTAGCCAAAGGGGTCCCCACAGCCACCACCTGGTTCCTCCCATCCCCTGACTCGCTGCTTCCCCCCTCGGGGCCCTGGTTGCTCTGAAGGAGGCTGTCTCGGCTGTGTGAACGCACGTGCCCTGAGGTAAGAAATCAAAGTATCACATTAATTGGAATGAGCTGTGAAAACACCAGGCGCCATTTCAAGAACATGCATCGACTCCCATACTTGGAAGAAAAAGACGGACTATGGCTGTGCCAAATATCCCAATATTGGATCGATTATCGAATAGTCGCACATTACTTTCTGAATTTAAATATTCAAATGCAAAATTCATGAAAAGGGAGGATTTTCTACTGTTTTAAATCACAAAAATTGCACTTTGAAGGCTTGTTTCAAGCAGATTGAAACAAAAAGTGACAGAAATCCTCACGATTCAAAAAGTAAATATTCATTAAAAATTTAAAAGGAATAGAAATTTTCAACAGGACAAGAAGTATTGTTCATCTCTTAAATCTTGCCAAATCGTGGCCGGAGATACTCCTAGAAATGAGAAGTTATTATATTGATTATAATGTACAATTGTGTGTGTTACTGCAACTGATTTTGTATATGGTCTCTTCATCAACAATCTGCCGGTCGGTACGACCAAATATTCGGATATTCGATCGAATTGAAGGTCGGATATTCGCACAGTGAATTATTCAAATTGACTCAGCCCTAAGACGGGATCACCTTCACCTCTTTGTGCACTGGACGTTGTCTGCGGTGCAGCAATGTTCAGTACTGTCAGAGCATAGTGAGGGGGCAAGGACGCCTTGCACAGCGACGTCACAAAGGCATCCCTGGGTACAGTCAGGCCCAGCTTGCCGCACAGGCTGGCGTAGAGCTCCTGGGATTTGAGGATGGACTCCGTAGCTGACTCCTCCAGGCTGGAAAGGAGAAGGGCAAGGGAAATACAACCCTCTCAATGTTCTTGGTTATGTGGGGGCAGTGTTGCAGAGCAGGCTCTTACGGCCATCTCCAGACCATCCCAAGATTGCCAGTCTGAATTCAAGTCAAAGGATATTCACCTTAGCAGTGACAAAAGCATTCTTTTCTTGTTTGTTCACCCTGTTCCGTGTGAATGGTGTCGGGACCAGCCTCATACCAGGTCTGGTGACTGGTCTGGTGGATGGCCTCATGACTGGTCCCATGTCTGGTCTTGTGACTGGTCTTAAGTGTAGTCATGTGACTGGTCTCATGTCTGGTCTTATGACTTGTTTTGTGATGGTCTCGACTACAACACTGCACAGATTTTGGGTTGTTTCAGACTTTCAGGTCCTGTGTCCGTTTAAACTTTCAGGTTAGTAGATGAAATATTCCCTTCTCCAAATCAAACTCAGCTTCAATATTCAGGCACTTCATCAGTCCTAGCCAACAAGCACTGCCCTGAAGAACTTTCTATCTTACAGGGAAAGTCTGAGCATCTGCAGCTAAAGACGGTCCCAAATAAAAGAGAATATATAGCCTGTCATGAAATATTAGATATGGAGCAGATGCATGTTGCAGAATGATAGATACTAAACCATGTGTCTTTTCTGTGTCCTAAGGGGAAAAAAAAGTGATATTAAAACAGAAAAAGTAAATTCAAGGTTGGCTGTGAAGTGTGATGATGGAAGCATGCAAAGACCGACGTCTTATGCACCATGTTTTCAAAGTGTTATCCAGACGTAGTTACATGACACAAATTCTCATATACCCTTTCAATCCTGATGTGGTAATTTCCTGTTAGTGGGTAAGTTGCTACGTGTAGTTGAAGTGGACTTTACTACAAGTGCCCCACATTAAAGATTTCCAGAGTAAATTGTGATGACCCAAAATGAGAGACACAAATATGGTGACTGATAATCAAACCGTAAACAACAACAAAATGGGTGACGTGACCACTCCATATCACATGAATAATGATCAAATGTCAGAAGTGTGAAAATGGTACATAAATTGGTGATGTGAACGTCCCGAACACGTGGTGAACCGGAAATGAAAAATGTCAAAGCTGCTGAGAGCTGAAAGCAAAATACCCTCTGCAAACCAGAGTGAAACATTGTCAACGAGCTTTACCTGTCAATTTCGGTAACATTAAAGCGCAGCTGCATATTCCAAAAGGGCTCACTGTAAAATGGATCATGGCTCGTGAAAAATGGGACAATCAACCCCCTATCTCAATCATATTTTGTCCATGTCCTGATGTCAAGAAAATTTACATTCACTTATGCCATGCTCTGAACGTAGGACTTGAAATGGAAGCTTGCCAGTCGGTGTGTTAGAATTTCACAATCTAACTGGTAAGAGATCAAATTTCAACGGAATTTGCACAAGTAAACTTGTGTATGGCATGCTTGGGTCCAATCAAATCCAATCATACTCCACACTAACAGTGCAGCAATGTTGAAAATGGTACCAGTATGCCGCAAGTTGAGAGAATCACTTTCCCCAATCTCTTTGCCAGAGATGAGCAAGCATGGAAGCCATCGCTGGCAGGGTCTTACGTACCAAGCATCGAGGAGCAGAGTGAGAGCTGCCAGGACTCCGCACCAGGAGGAGTTGACGATCTCCTCCCAAAGCCTCCTCAGACCTGCAGGATGCAACAAGAAGTGAAACGAAGGGGGGGGATTAGCTTGGTCAATGCTCAAGACCACAGTGCCTTACGCACACTAGCACACCAACAATTCATCGTGGGGGAGGGCTTGAACCAGAAGGCATTCCCCCCGTGCACCTTGCTCATTCAAACAATTCACTCATTTACAATGACCTTATCATTTAACCCACATGCTCTATCACCTCGTGGACGAGATATTTGAGCGTGTCATGTGCTACTCATGTTTTATTCACCCTTTCTCAATCATTCCATGCACAGAGCCCGCTATTGGGCAAACATTCTTCTGGCCACCAGAGCCATAAAGAAAAGAAACACCGGACCCCAGGTTTCCCCGGGGACCTGCTCACGCTTGTTCCACCGACCTTCGTCCATCTTCAGCAGCAGGCCCTCTCCCTCCTCCTCCTCCTTGTCCTCCCTCGCATCCTTGGCCTTGTCGTTGACGACGTGCGGGGCGCGGTCCCGAGCCTGGTTGCGCAGCCGCCGCTCCTCCGCCTCCATCTCCTGCGTCACGATGGTGGTCACGCCCTTGACCACATCCAGCAGGCTGGCGAAGGCCGCCGAGATGGAGTAGCCCTCAGGAATGGAGGGCGCTTCCGACTTGTCCAACATGTCCAGACTGTACAACAGAAACGTCAAAATCACATAGGAACAACTTTACATTCGTCCACGTTCCTGGGCTATCCACTCTGACCAGAGGTATCCCCTCACTGGAAAAGAGGAGACGAGCTGGAGGGAAGATTTTCAGTGAGGCTCCCACTTATGCCAGGGCACACATGCAAAGACTATACATTCCAACAGAGATTGGTTGCACATAACCAGTGCAGCATGCATCAAGCATGCTAGGGACCTGTATGTACACACAGTCTTTTCCTGTTTTTCTGTCTTTTCTTATTAAAAAATTTTGTTGAAAAAAACTTCATTATCCAAGGTGTCTTATCCAAGGTGTCCTATAAAACAAGAAACCAGAATATTAGGGCGAAATGCTCAGAAACTAATACAAGTTTTCCCGAAGTATCTTATTTGAAAGCTATTTTTTCGTTTTCTTTCATTTGGTCTCAGGCAGATGATGCTTCCGGGCGTAGTCTGAACTGCGATGCTAAACACTGACATAATTACTTTGGGGAAATCATGCTGTAATAACAAAACACTTCGTGCTTACAAGATTGGCTTTGAGTTGGAGACGGGGAGGAGCGGCATCCAGACTCCCTTGTAGGCAAATGCCGCGTGCGGCGTGATGCCGCTGCTGCTGACCATGCCGCCTGATTGCATGGATGAGTTGCTGCCCATTTCCTTGCTCTGCTTGTCGCCTGTGTGACCAAAACGAATTCGAGGCGTGAGGTGCGCAAACATGCAGAGGCAAGCACAGATATATTCTGGGCAGTTTTTTTTTTCTCTTCAGAAAGAGCTTGTTCTTGTTTTCAAATGAAAGCCTGTGACAAGGTAAGCTCACAAGAATCACTGGCACAAAACAAACGCTTGCCAAAGAACGACAAAGCTTGAGAAGGGGCCGTCAAGTAACCATCAAATCGCAGAATAAAGTTCGTTGCTGCCTCCCAAAAAGGGGGTTGGGAGGCGGGAGAGGAACTCCACTTACTTGCAATGCTGGACTGTCTCTCCACCACCGGGTTCACAAATAAGGACTGGATGAACGAGCCCAGGGCATTGACGATATTGGCAAAGACCTTGGTGGAGTGAAGTTTCATGTCGTAGCACTGACAGAAACACCTGCGGCAAGACGATCAAAATGAACCCTTGACGTTACAAAAGAATAACCTTGTAAAGCTTTGACATTGTAACCGCTCACTGTCGGTGTTCTTCCACAGTGCCTCAGCAGACACATTACATTCCGCTGTCTTTTTAAACTGCAAACTATCACGACCACAGTCCTTTACAAAGTTGGACTGTAAAACTGTTGACCCTCGGTGGTTATTTGTTCAGGGCTGTTTCCTTTAGAGACCATATTATGGAGCAATATTTCCAGCAATGGCCAAAAACAGGTTGAGTACTTCACATGTTTATGTTATATACCTAACGTGGATTTTCCTTTCTTTTCAAAGAAAACTTGGTGAAAATGCTCATTTTTCTTGCACTGTGAGCACTGCCACAGGCTGCGTTTTTGTTGCTAATTTCCTTGACTGCTCCTATTCCTTTAGCAAACCAATAATCCCAACCCCAAAGTGCCTCTGGAACTGTTTCCCAGAATGGGAATAACCTTGTGTGAATCTGGCTTGGTTCACGCAGAGCACCAAAGTGAATATGCCATACGCATAATAACACCATTAACGCGAGAACCACTACGGGCACGTAACCCACTCATTTGCTGTGCACTTTCTGGTTTAAGCGAGGCCACGCATCGGCACTCCATAATGTGGACTTCTTTTGTTCGTGGGTCCACACCAGGGGTACACATTCGCATGTTTGCCACACGAACTAAACCTCCATGGACTAACTGGAGCCTCTGTTTGTGCACGAGACTACAGACATCGTATTGCATACGCAAAAAGACTTTACGAAAGACCTGGAATGGCTGTGCAACTTCAGACGGACCCACCTGAGCAGCTTGGGCTGGGAGCAGAGTTTGTACATGACCTCCAGGGCCAGGACCCGTTGCCACATGCACTTGTCGCTCTCCATGAACTTGACGAGAAGCGACAGAAAGATCTCGCATTCTGTGACCTGTTGGGGTGAAAGGGGGGGGACGGAGGAATAAAGACACAAGAAACACTCGAGGGCAATGCTTGTTCAAGAAAAGTCAACTATTTATAATTTGGCACAACTTATGCACTTACCTGTCTTCATTTTTTGCCCGGGAGGAAACGAACCGGTAACATACATTTACACCATGAGATGACACAGTGTTAGCTTAGCGAACCAATTCATTTGTAGGTTGGAAAGTGTTGTCTGGCGGTTCAGATTCTTTTGTGACTCAGGACCAGAAGGTCAAGGCTTCAAATCCAGTTTATGTCATCTATTGTGTCTTTAGACTAGTCAAAGCACCTGCCATTTTCCACACAGGTGTACGCATGGGAGCTAGGTTAGTACAGCAGTAACTGGCTACGCATTTACAGTCCAAGGGGGGCAGTTACGGACTATTCTCAGTGGTCCCATGCCTGGGAAACTGGAGTAAAAACTCCAGTCTGGTGACCCCACTGAGTCAGAACACATTTTGCTTCCAGTAATATTTGATTAAATCCTGCCAGA